CACCGCATAACTTTTGGATTTTTTTGCCTCACCAGATTTTTTTTTCACTTCCCTGGGCGCATAACCCGCAATGCAATTTTCTAGGTTTGAATACAGTGAGCTGAAGGGTTGATGATGACTTATTTCATTTATAATCTTAATTTTCTACATTTTCGACAATAAAAGGGATCTCAACCGTGTTCGGGTTTCATTCCTTCTGAGTGGTCTCAAAAATAACATTTAATAGTTCAGAAGTAACAGATCCAAGATGGCACAGTGGTTCGCAATAAAGTAATAACGTACATATAACGGAAAGCTTTGTTTTTGACCGTAATGGCACTCTCCCAAGTTGAGAAACCGCTCAGAAGTATCTTTCCTCATGCAGGTGTAATGTTTTTAATGAGGAATCTATTTATTCTAAAAACGTACACTTATAGATGAAATTCCTTTTTTTTTTCAAGTTAGCGCCATTATTATTATTATTAAATTCAATTTATATAGCGCTCATTTCATAAAAAAATTTTCAAGAGTGCTTAACAATATTAAAAAAAATACCTATTAGAACAACTATTTATAAAGACCCAAAATCAGTAAATTAAATGAACACAATTTAACATTGATTTAAAAGTTTAAACCAAACATGGTGGGACTTCCACACGAGGCCAGCACTAACTCTCCCTCCAACGACCCGTCTTGCGTCCAAGATTCACCCTTGTGCCCGAAAATTAGAAGCACTCTCCAAGAGAACACCCAGATTCTCCCAGACAGGTCCAACAAAATGCAAGACGACAAAATTACAGTCAAAATTAACATCCACCCAGAGCTTAGAAATTAATAATATGCTTTCTTAATAAGCCAGCAAGTCACTACTAAAGCGTTTTATTACTACAAGGTATATCATAGAAATATGTCAAAACTCATCCATAGCTAACATCATTCATATCTTCATTCAATCTTCATACATACGATCGGGATTTCGGAATGTTCTAATAGCAATTTCACAATTAAATTTCACTGTTTTGTTAGAATTAGGAGAGAAAGAACTTTCTACTTAATGGAAGACTGTTTCACCCTGTTTGAAGATTTTCCATTTATGATTTGTTCATGTGCTGTTTACATTACGACCCTGGGGACAATATGGGGAACTTGTCAACCACAACATGTTCCTGATTTTAAAGAGCACCTCTAAGGAAAAAAACAGGTTTTCTCTGATTTTAACTGTTCATATAAATATGGAAGCATCCAAATCGAACGCAGTGTCATTTTTCTCCAGAGCTCAACTATAACAAGATAAAAGGGGCTTTTTTTCTGGCTTGAAAACCTGTGAAACTTGTATTTTTCCTGATTTTCTTAATTGGAGATATTTTTCACTGTTGTCTGTGGCAACTGATTTACTGGTCTGGACCCCTATAGGTTGCAGGCCAGTAAAATAAACTGCCCCAGCCAACAGTC